CTTACATGCATCAAACCGTGACAGGTTCTTGTATAACATTGTGATTAATAAACTTTACTACGTATTACTATATTTTGTGTAATTCGTCCAGGAGATTAGGTGATCTGTGTATTTCTGTAAATCTGTCACCAATGAACCGTATTACCAGCAGGACAAGCGACCAAAAGTATCCAGGCCCCGTTTCATGAATCTCTTTCAACAACATACAAATTTAAACGTTTATTATACAATGAATAGAGTATAAGATAAGAAGCGCAGATTTTACAAAAGTGTACCGATGAGGTGTGTGTGGTGGTGAGAGATATAATGAAAAATAGTGATCTGGGAGGGACGAAAGAGAAACTAGGGTGAAAGAAAGAAGAAAATGAAAGTAAAAGAAAACAAAATAAAAATAAAAGGTAAAGATGAGGAGAAGACAAAGGAAGAGTGGTGAGGAGTGTGAGAAAGGATTTCAGGGAAGGTGAAGGGGAGCTGCTAAGAATCTGCAGTTGGGGAGTCCGCCGGAGGGTCAGGGTTGACAACGTCTTGATGCCTTCCCTCCGACGGAGTGAAATCGCCGTCCCCCTTTTCTCCGATGATCGGTTGTGTCTTGCTGCGGGGCGGAACTTGGTCGACGGCATCCTCCTGGTGGTCGGGGCCTGTATGGGAAAAGTAGATTTCGGCCGAGACCTGGAGGATGTCCGCGATGGCAAGTTTACGCAGGAGGCTTGCGTACCGCCGCCCGACTCTTAAGAGTCAGAACACACTGTCGTTTTGTGGGTCCCATGCGCCCAGAACACTTAAAATGAACGCTTCGGTGGTGACCTGGAAGCCCTGTTGGGACAGGAGGACGGCTTCGGGTGCGTAGTGCTCAGTCTTTCATTGTTTGCCCGCGTCAAACTCGTCCCTTCCATTTTCAAACAGGATAGTCACGTCGATTATGACGGCTGTTCTGTCCACCCTATCGATTACTTCTATATCCGGGCTGTTCCGAGAACCAATCATGGGGAACGCGAGGTTCATTCGCAACTCCTTTCTGGCCGACCTCGGGATGCCCTTCATCACTCGGTTGAGCAGTTTATTGTAGCGGTCGGTATACATCGTGCCGTGTGC